AAAATACCTGACCGAACCGGAATGCCTCCGCGTCGCCGGAAGTCCGGCCGTTACGCGTCAATTTCGCCGAGTAATTGACTCGAACATTCAGATAATATTATTATCCTTGACCGATCCTACAGCTGCCGATCGTTCGCTGCAGCCTTAAATCTATTGACTCTTTCTGACAGATCACAGCGAGTTTACAAATATCTTTGTTCACAAGTACTTATACAGATTCTTAACTCCCCGCCGCGCCGGCAACATAAATTGTAACTCTTTCAACTCTTCCTCGGATAATAGGGAGTTTTCGAGAATTGGAACAAATTTTTTATCAATCCGGATTAAACAGAATCTAAAAAAATTCTGGTATACTTGTTTAAGTCTTAACTACGAATTTTTATCATCACAGAAATCAAACGTATTTTATATATTTAAATTTATTCATAATTAAAATATCGATGATATCTTTAAAAACCCCAGTTTTGTCGGCGAAGCGTAAAATACACGGATCTTCGCACTATAGTTTTTCTCGGATCTGTTGATCTTTAAATTCGCAGTCTCAGATACATGGATTCACAACTTTACAAGCAATAAATCTATATATATATATATCTATTTAGATTCTATGATTTCTAGATTCTAGAAATTTATCATGAATCTACTAAGGTTTCTTACAGTCTTTGAATTAAATCTAAGAGATTTTCAAATTTCAAACAAGCATTTTCAAAATCGATTGCGCACATTATAAAAATTATATATAAACAAAACTTTCAGCTTGCTGTCAACCATGCAGGTCGACCATGGCATAATAGCAATATAATTCTCTCTTCATTATATTATATTACCTATGTTGAGCGATTCGATTATTCCTCGCCATTAATTTAACAAAATTTGCGTTACACCGCGGAGAAACAAAGCGTAAATTATTACCGCGATCAAAATTACCGCGCCGTCATTGCGGTCTGGTTCGTTACGAGCGAGCGATTTGCTCATTCTAAAATTCATCATTTAATTATAATGCGTTACAACCGCTGTCACTCCAACGGTAATCCCGGCTCGCCGCATCAGCTCCTGGATTTCGCGTCGATTGCGCCGATTTGTATCGATCTACATCAACCGACTCATGAATTTCGAGACACATGGTGCACAGGATGTCCAAAACAACTATATTTGGAATATTCTTCTATGTTACACATTCTACAGGAAATTCGCTTTTTTCATAGCGAAAATCTTACTGGAGTAAATTTATTTGTCGCCGGTTTTCATCTTCAACATTAGAAATCTTGATCACTCCAAGTTTAAATGAAATTTTTACTAAATATATTTTATAAAATTTATTTAAAATTAATTAAAGAAGATTATTTATTTTACTTTCTCGAGTTCATTTTACTAGAAGCTTTTATATAACTTTCAGTCTGAATAACTTGACTATCAATATTTCTGTATTAAAGAGACCGATATATTTCTCTTAATATACTATCGTGTATCCATGATTGAAAGGCTATTCGGCGGTTGAAAGGCACCCTGTACGTATTGTTATTATTTCCACGTCTTCTCTTCGTCTCGTTTTCCCTCTCAAATAGATACACCGATGTTCTTTTTCTCAGACGGCAGTCGATAAACTGTTTGGAATGTCGTCGAAGTTGTAACGAAGCGCCATAAAGTTACAACTACGTCTCCGGCGCGAAACTCCTACGAACTTTCAAATACCTCTGTCCAGGTAAAAGTTTAAGGAGCTTTTGTAGTGTATGCGCTCTCTCTCTCTCTCTCTCTCTCTCTCTCTCTCTCTCTTGTTGGCAAGCGTATCCTACGGCGACAAAAACGCAAATAATCCGATGCATGTTCTTTCTCTTTAATGAATCGAGATTTTATATTTTCTTATAAGAAAAATATTGTAGAAAAGGTCACTTTATACACATAGATATATACTTTGTACAAAACTCTTTTTAAAAAGTTTGTTTAAGACACGAAGAAAATTAAATGATCAAATTTTTAAATTAAAATCAAATTACTTTTATTTTAACCTTTTCAAGTCTGAAATTTTTTTAGAAATGGGATATGTATATTGTTTTATTATTTTTAAAGATCGCTACATACAAAATTGAGGTCAAAACATAAAAATTTTAAATAATGGATCAAATATAGTAGATCCAAGAAATAAAAAAGGGGTTGAAGGAAGAGGGGAGAGATAGAAAGAGATAGAAAGAAGAGAGAACCTTTCATAATTACACTGTCACATCATGAATTTTAGAAAAATAGTATCAAATAAATAAAAAGTGATCAATTCTTAAAATCGTTTTTCCTAAAATTGTGACGTGACAGCCACATTTTTGACAACGGATTCTTGTTTAGCAGGCAAAAATACGATGGAAATCATTATTCACATTCGTGTTATAAAAAAAAAGATCAAATTTTATCGGACAGTGAGAACTTTTTAATCTTTCTACGTAAATAATTGTTTTAAGCTTATGATTGCATTGATCACAACATTTTTCAATTAAGGTTTAGATAATTTTCTTTAAAACTAGTTATGAACTGAATAATTTAATAATTACCAAAAAAAGATATGATTTTGTAAAAATTCTGTGTATATATGATACAGACTTGAAAGAGTTAATAACGATTGAATTATGCTAGATTTTGTTTACATTAGATTTATTTTATATGGGGGCTTACAAATTATATTATTAATTTCTTAAGATTAATTTTTATTATTATTTACATTTTTATTTCTAATTAATATAATTCTATCGATTTTTTATCTTTTCTCTGTGATTATCTACCTATGTTATATAAATTCCATGATTTAATAAGTAATTTTGAGAATACAGATAAAAGACAATAAATTGGATAAAATATTATTTGAGAATAAACAATTTTCTCTAGCAATATTTTTTTTTGCCATATAACCAATGTAATTAATAGTCTCGTCGAAAATGTTTTGATAAATTTGAAATTTGATATATTTGCATTTTTCGTTTAACGTATTTTCTATTTTGTAGGAAAGGAAAATATTTTCCACACACGTAATTTTTGGCAGAGACATTTTTTCGAATGCTCGTTCCATTTCTAGCAAAGAACGAAAGTAGCTTTAATTATATGTCGTTTTGTAATTTAATGATTAGCAATTACTTTGCTCGCGCGATTACTACTAGCCATACGAGATGAACAAAGGTATGTTCTTCTGTTTAGCAACCCTGTACCTTCGTTATCTCCGTGACTTCAGCCACGATATATCGTCATTAGCCGTCACGCACCAGCTCGCAATACGCACATGCCCGCTAATTAACGCAGGCCTTACATTTCTTCCAAATAAATATACCCACAGCTTCTAATTAACACGAACGTTCACCCGAAACGAAATATCCCTCTCTAAAGCAATCTACCCCGTCTCGAAATTTACTATCCCCCTCGGTGCTTCTAAATTATTCTAGAATGTGACAATTCTTGCGAAGCGTTCCCCGGCTGTTGTTTCACGACCGTTCGATATACCTAAGTACACTTAAGTGTGCGTAAAAGCCGACCCGAGGAAACAGGATGTCAGGAAATACGGTATTGGATCCGGTATAATGATCGCGGTGCCTCCCACGTAGTCGCTTTATTTTATAATAATCGATTATAAATAACAAAGTGTCATTTCCGTAATGTCAACATTTCTTTAATATCGCTTAAAATGCCAGAGATATAAATACTCGTTGGTACATTACCCTACGAAAAAAAGCTGCTATTAAAGTATGGCTTTGTAAAACCTTTCTCAAGTTTTCCCATAAGCATTATTGATTTGTGCAGTTCCGTTTTCAACAAAGGACATCGCCGCTGCATTCGTGCAATGTGCCAATTACTTTATATATAATAGATTTTTCACGAGACACATTTTATTGCGTATCGACGAGTGACAACGGATTGCACTTCAAATGACACTGCTATAGATAGAAAATTGTCTTATCAAGCTCTTTAATATGGCGTGCATAATATATAATCGTAACTGTTTTTCTTCGGCGTAAATTCGCAAGAAGTCTGTCGGTATTTCCCAAGATTACTCTCCAGCAGCAGTTAATCGCGATAACCCGGTGTATGTGCTTCCTAATAATCGAATAATTGCACGAGTTAATTACTTTTATTTTAAGAAACCAGTACTTACAAGGGGGTGAGTAAATCATGAGGAGTGTAGAGAAGAGAAAATTATTAAATTAACACAAATTATTCTCTCAACTTATTTTTTGTGTCAACAGAATAATTTTTTACAGAATAATATTTAAGAAGCGTAAATTATATTAAAGTGAAAAACTGCTATAAGTAGTTTAGATTCCGTTATTAACGAAAAGAAACGAAAAACAAAAAAAAAATCCACGAGATTTTAAGTATTGTACTATTTATATATTTTTCGGAAGAAATCCTCAGCTTTAACAGATTTTACTTTATATATAAACAGAAGTTTAAGTTGCTTCCTGGTTAGGTGCCACCGACACTGAAATACGCTAGATTGTACAAGCTGTAAAAATGCACGCGTCGTTGCATATCGCCGAGAGAAGCACCGCCGGTATTGTACTCCCGTAATGACTTCGCAGAATGAAAAAAAAAAAAAAGAAAAGAAAAGGAAAAAAAGGAGAAAAATAATTCTCTCACGCTTCTCAGCGTGCGCGCGTGTTCTACCCGTCGTCCGTGCATTCGTGCTGTTTGCGGAAAATCTGCGCGTGTCGATCGTGACGCGCATCTGCGAGTCGCGCGTGCGTGCGGCTGCAGCGATACGGAACGCGTGATTTCGTAAGACGCACTTGACGTAAACCAGGGACGGGCCTAAAATATTTTTAACTGTGTGCCCATACACAACGATTCACATTTCCGATAATATCAATTTAATTTTGTTGCGCTTTGTGTGAGACAATATCTTTATTCTCTCGGAAATATGGATGCACGCACGATGCTTTGTATTTATAATATTACGCAATTAATTAAATCGCCAAAGAGACATGTTTATATGCATTTATAGATTTTTTTCTTAGATCTGTCGATAATATATGTTATGCCAAAATGTATATAGCTAATATTCTATAAAATCATTAAATGTTCTTATATTCTTTATTCTTCAATAATAAAAACATAAAAGTTTAATTGCCTCAAAATTAAAGGATATTACTTACGTTGCTTTCTTAGTTATGTCATGTATAAGATATGCAGTAAACAATTCGTGAAAGATAATATACTTTTTCCATTAAAAATTAATACAATAATTATTTCTATGAAATTTGATTTGACGTTATATTTTTCACAACTTTTAACATTGAACATTTTATATTTTATATACTGAAAGATTAAGATTTTATATCAGTTTTATAGCAGCGCAAAAGCTCTACTTAAGATTACGTGAACAGTAAAACATCCATTATCGAAACGTTTATGTAAAACCTCATAATCAGAACACGAAAAGTATCTTTTGTTAAGAGAAACATTTTTACTTTTTTTTTTTTGTATGGAACATTGTCGGATGCATCGAATGTATGTATTACCGAACGCATACAACCACAACGGTTTATTATGAAACTTTGCGAAATGTCAGACACGATAGAAGAAAATTCGCAAAACGAGCCGCATTCGTTCCTCCCACTCGAGAGGGTTTATAAGCCGACCGATATCTCGGCGTTCGCCAGCGTTATCCGTCCCACGCTCTCGCGCACACACGTATTCGCGAACGCGTATCAATTAACACGCTCCACGACGAATCGTGCGTACAACGTGCGCAATCGCGGACAGCTCTCGGCTATGTATACGCACGTATGAACACGCGCGCGCGCGTCACCCACGCGCCCGCACACACGCGCGCGTTAACGCATGGCCGCGAATTTTTGCCGCACCGCCGCCGCGCCGGTAGCATCGGCTAATTTTACCACGCGGATCGCGCATGCAAGAGGAACGCTGTAATCTCGCAATTTATGTGGCGAAAATGGACCTCCTATCGGTTCGATCAATTCCCTCCCGTTGCGATCTTGCGGTTTCTTCCTAACTTTTCTATATACGTAAAGATCTTTTACGTATAAAAATTAGAAGATGGATTATTTCGAATTCTCTAAATTTGATTAAAGTGAAAATTGTTAGCTTAGAATTGTATACAGAGTAATTGAGAATGTAAATGAGTGAGAATATATGGTAAATAGGATATAATTTCCATTTTTAATATCTACAATTCTAAAATATACGTTCTGTTATATAAAAGATAATAATAAATGTAGATAATAATTGCATTAATTAACACATTAAGATTTGATATATACAAATCTAATTTAAAAGCTTGGTATTTTAAAACAGTATTTTGATTGTAAACAAGAAATTATGAGACGAGGCAGCCAACAAAGTGTTATATATTATTCGATACCTTGCCAAGTTTAAGATTGAGAAAAATTATTTATGTCAAAGTATAATCGCAAAGGTAATATAAATTCCATTTAAATCTTGTCGGCAATCAATTGCAATTAAATTGTTATTTTTTTTGTATTATTAATTTTATTATTTTAATATTAATTTTAGAGGTTTATAACTACAAATCTGATTAAATTTGATATTCATAATATAAAAATCGTTGATATAATTTGATAAATTGCTTTTGTAATTAAAAGTATATTTTCATGTAAAAATTATTATTTTCTAATCCTGCAAGATATATTTGATAATTTGCGTATATTTTATTTGTTAAAAGATCAGATAATCCTATCTTTTCGCCGAATCATAGTGTAAAATTTAATTTTATGCAATGTGTCGAGACAATGCGATAAGACCTGCATAATTCTACTGTTGCTCTATGTCTGTTTCAAAGACAAATTTACATTGGACGCGAATAAAAACACGAACGATCATTCGCGATGCTCTCGCGTCGCGAACTACGCGTGTATTATTGTTCGTAAACGGATTGACCCAAAGAAAACCTCTGAAATGACATAAATAACGGCGGCGTGTGGGCCGTATTGACTTACGTAACAATACGCGCTGCCGCGAACCTCCGCAGAAAAATCACGCAGGAAAATTAAGTACACGCAGCACAGAAAGGAAACAATCACGCCTATAGCACAGTTGTTAAAAATCTAGAAATCGCCTGGGAACCGGAGAAAGTCGAGAAATGTTCTAATCTGTCTACGTCATAATTTAATAGAATGTCAGTCGCATGGTTATCAGTGAGTTTTTTAATGAAATTTACAGATAGAAAAATATCATATGCGAATGACTTGTGACATTTTGTGTATCTTTCTGTACAGTTTATCTAAAACTCTCTTTCTAAAACTGGAAATAATCTTTAATAACTTTACTTTAAATATTGTAATATATAAATTTATTTTTCTTTTTTTTAATTATTTTAAAACGCACGTTTCTAAACTAGTCGTTAAAAATTGTTTCAACTTGAAAAAACGTAATAAAGTATTTAGATTCTTCAACAACAAAAGAAACTTTCAATAGTCGTCCGATATGAACGTCGACATCGGTGACGAAACGGTTGCCACTGGCAAGGCGCCGAGTGTCTGACAGATAAACATCATATATCTTTACATCTTGATTTTAATTTTTATATTGATAATGTATAATTATAAATATATAAAAAGGTTATCAGATGAAGAGGATTTTTTTTGCAATAAGCCATCAAATTATTTCGCTAAAGTGTCTCGCGATTTATATCTGTCAATTACTTTCGATCAATCATATGGTTCTCAAATGTATATATACAAAAGTGATATGTTAGAGGATAAATAGATTGAAATATTTTGTTGTACATGTACTGAAAGTTTTAATAGTATCGCACAAAGTTTCATCAAGGTTTTCATATAAGTATGACTATAAATATCAAGAGTTGAATAAAAGATTATTTTCCAACTATAACTAGTAATAAGATTATCAGATGTCTTCATTTTCTGGGAACAATCTCTAAATTTTTATTTGTGCTATAGTAATTTTTACCTTTCGTAATCTAGGTCTTTTTTGGTACAAGTGAAATTTCACTTTCAAATGCTTCCTCATTTTTGTTCAAATTTCAATTTTAATTAAATAATGGTTTTAATATCTAAGTTTAAAAACTAAAGATGTGTGTGTGTGTGTGTGTGTATTGAAAAATAATTTTGAATTTTTTAATATTTTTTTGAAAGTCTAGAACAGTAAAAAAAATTTAGGTTAAACAAAAAAAATCCAGACAGACGGAGAGATTAAAAGTATGATTGCAGACGGAGGGTTAATAGTAAATTTCGGTTTATTTATAGTCTAACTTATCAAATAGAATAAAACAATATACGAAATAACATTAGTTTTACATATGAATTACCTTTATTTAAAAAAAGTAAAGACCTGACTCCGAATTCAGTAAAAAAAAATTTGATAATCCTAAATTAGTTGCATATAATGAAACTAATGGAATGAAGTAGAATAATAGAAATAATGACAAGAAATAAGGATGTAAATAAATGATAAATAGCGGAGAGATGGATTTTAATCCTTTAAGGCCGCAGCTTTTTAACAAAATAATTTCTAGATCTTGCTTTCTAAGGGTTTTTCTGATAATTGAATTCGATTCTGATCTCAAAATGGTAAAATTTAAATTTTTTAAAAATAATTTGATTATCATATGAAACTCGGTTTCAGGAGATTCTTGACACTCTGAGTTTGAATTAGCTTGAAAATATCGAATTTCAAAAGTAACCTCTATGAAGGAGGAGCTAGTGTCAGAGAGCTCATAATCATAGTTTGAAAGTCAGTTTGGAAAGCAGTACTAACTGTTTCTGTAACACTGATGAGCTTCAAATAAAGCGAAACTGGAAACTTGATGTTATATATATATATATA